ATGTCTTCATACACTGATCCTACTGCTACTCCACTTTATACCTCCATTTGTTGGAAATATATATACCATACCGGATGTATCATCTCTCCCCTGCTAGTTATTCCGGGTAGAATCACAACTCAAGGGTTCTGTTGTTGCTGGTCTGGGAAATTGTAGTTGTGAGCGCTGTTTTAAGGAAATTTATATTCCGGTATTTACAGGTGGGGGCTCGTTTAACGAGAAATTTCTCAAAGCTATGTAGGTGGTTTCCAGGGATATTGAAACCATCCGAGGAATGTCCCGAACTTTGAATATTTTTTTGGCCAGTCGGTTATTTGTTCCGGATCACCCTGACCATTGGTGGAGTGTGGCTTTGCCTCTCGGCATTCAGCCCACCGCTCGCAACAACCCCACTGTATGATACCAATACCGGCACTTCCCGCAGTACAGTACCGTACTAGTATAGAACTAACTAGCTAGTATTATAAGAATTCGGATGAGTGGCCTAGGTACTATGTACGAGGCTAGCACCAAAAATAATTCACGGTTCATAAAAATTTAGGCCCTGTTCGGCATGCCAAAAATACGATAGTATTTCCACTTTTATGGAGTATTTTTCATGGTATTTTTATTTTAGTTTGGCCTAGTGTTTGGCAACAACAAATACTATGGTATTTTTATAATAATACAACTGTATTTATTTACTATAGTATTTTTCTTACAAAATTTAATAAAATAAATAAACAAATTCAAGCCTATATCAAATAATATTATATGACATTGTCAATCCTATTCCTGTTCTTTATAATAAACATCTTCTTATACCTTTATATCAGCATTCTTACAGCTCCAATTACAAGAAATTCTTCTCTTCTAATTATTCCAAATTATACCCTCCCAATTCAACAATATGCTCCTATCTCCAAAAATTATGGATGCTAATTCCAATATTACTATAGGAATTGGGTAGAAAAGATCTTGAGTTATGCAGAGAGAAAGAACTGTAATTTGTGTATATTCTGAAATTCAATAAAAACTACTTATATTTCCTAGCAGTATTACAAACATCAGATAAGATTTTGCTTATTAAGAAAAATACTATAGTAAAAGAAGTGTTGCCAAACACGATTATTTATGCAAATACTATTGTATTTTTATTTTGACTTATAAGCTATTTTCATGAAATACAATAGTATTTTTTTACGGTGGGTTGCCGAACAGGGCCTTAATAAAAAAGTATTATTACAAAAAACTCCGGAGAACTTAAAAAGGTCCCCCCTCCACCACGCCAATTCCGCTTCCATCCCCACCCCACCTTCACCTCCACCACCTTCAACTCCACATTTACCTCCACCTCCATCTCCTCCCCCACCCCCCCACTTCCACCCACACCTACCTCCACATATTCCTCCTCCACCTCCTCCAGCACCGCTACCGCACCACCCCCGGGGGTGTCCCCCGTCCCACCAACCCTGCCAACTCCCGGAAAATATTCCACAGCAATACTAGGTTGGAGACTTACCCCCTCTGTACGAGGAGAGGTATTCTCCTCATGTTGAATCGCGGGGGGGAGTTCTACCCCAGAGGGGCATTCTACCGCGGCAGGGTATTGAACTACAGGGGGGTATCGCGCCACGGGGGGCATTCAACCATGAGGAGCATGGGACCACGGGGGGGTATCGGACGATGGGAGAGCATTGAAGTAGCGGGGGGGCAGGACAGTTGACCACGGGGATGGCGGGGTAATTGACCATGGGGGGGGGAGTAGTTGACCACAGGGGGCTGGGTAGTCAGTCTTCCCAACGGTTCAGTCCGTCCGTCTTTCGGGTAGGACGGGACGCATTATAGCCGGCCGTCCAGCTTTTCGGTAGTGCTAGGACGGACTACGCTCGGGACTGGTAGGACTGGACGAACTACGGAGGACTACCCTCCCACTGCCTGAAATCCTATGAACAAAATGGCCTTATCAGCCACAAGGTTTCGACCATTTCTGAGGTTCTGTGGTATAGTATGTTGTTACTTCATGGTCCTCCGCAGTCCCCCGCAGTCCCCGGTAATCCCCCGTAGTCCCCCGCCATCCATAGTAGTTCCCTGCTGTCGCTGGTAAATCACCGCCATCCCCCTTACCACCCCTGTGTGACCCTGTAGGGCCCGCCGCCCTACTTAAAGACGGCCGTTTTCCACTTTTACCGCCCTGGACGGACTGCACATGACCGTTTTGTGCTAGACAGGGCTCTTGGCAGTCCCCCGTGGCAGTTGGCCACGGGGGGAAACAGGTGAGGACAGACGGGGGCTTTGGATTGGGGCTGCGGGAGGGGGTGGGCTTGCTCCGGGGTTGGTGTATAAGAACCTACTAAGAATGGCGGTCAGGTACACAATCGGGTATCCAAGGATGGCGATAAGCCCTAAAAAATATGAGGTGAGTAAATCCGTAATTACGCTTATTTAGAGCCCATAAATTTCTTGAACAAACCTTCGATCGCCTGCACAGTTGGTTGGGGAGATTGGGGTGGGGGTGCTGATGGTCGTTCCGAGATCTCCGACATCTTTGGTTGATGGTAATTCCGTGAGCCCCGGAGGCGAAGGCCCTTTTATAGACCACAAACCCTCCCAACATACCCCTATCATCTACATTACCCGGACCTACAACATTTCATGACAACCCACCACACATTACTTTGTCATCGTAGCAGCTTACGAAATCTTTCTGTGTTCTCATGCCGGGACCTACCCACCTTGCTTGGCTCCATTTTCAAGAATTTTCCGTTGATTTTTATATTTTTAATCTTCTGTGAATTGTAGAGGTATATTACTTGTAGTTCCGAATAATGAGTCCGATTTCCTTTATCCCCTCTGGCTGGAGCATTCAAGTTCTTGTGAAAATTGATTTTCCAAGAGAAATGTTTTTTTATGATACGGCATTCCGAACAGATCCTAAATCATACTTAAAGCCCTTTTGGGAATTGTGAGTATGCAATTATTTTACCTACTTTGTTGGGTGATCTAATTTTACTCGCCTGGCAGGACATCCTACCGAGAATCTAACCAGACTAGCCAAGGGGAATCTCCACTAGAAGGATTTCTTAGATAGAGGGAAAAACTCTCTCGGCCTGATGGAATATATATATAAGGGGGTTCCCGGAATGCATCATATAACTCCCGGGTGTTTGTCGTACTTTTGGAAACCCGAATAATCGTAAAATCCGCTGTCATTGGATCACCATCATTGTGTGGTTTGGGTGGCTGCTCCATTCGTCTCTCGGAAGGACCAGGCAGCTCCTGTTCTGCTATATTTTTTCGCACCTCTTCTGAAATTGGGAATTATCTGTTTTATAGTATACTCCAGTAATCCCAACCCGGCATCCGCATAATAGGAATATGCTCCCTGAGCTCCACTAGCTTCCCCCGCGCCTCCAGCACAGCATACACGGACTCAATGTGCACTTCTGCCCCCATCATCAATATTCCGTCCTAAGTACATCCTCCAATATGAGACATCCGAAATACCCCCCCCACATCCCATCACTCGCCCTGGGAGTTCAGTCCGCTTATGTATGATACAGGAGAAGCAAGGCAGCACAGCAACTTCAACTATAGAGGAAACTGCAGGGCTACTCATACGCCCCCGCCTCTCTCGGACGGACACCAATTGGTTGGTTTTCTACGGGAGATTACCCGCCGATCTCTTCGCTTGCGATATTTCGTCAAGTTTGCCCCAGGAAACTTTCTTATTCAAGTTTAGCCATCCGGGTGGGTCGTGGTCCCCCCACTAACCCTGAAGGTAATGGTGGATCGCAATGCTCTTCCTTGCCTCGGTGGTCCTCTTCCTCCTACTGGACACGTAGAACTCTACTCTCATACTTATAACCCAAGTTCTCGAACTTTCTCCTAGATGGCACAAATACCACCTCGGGGGAGATGGGGAGAAATAAATAAGGAAAATTCTCTAGATCAAGCTAGTTCTCAATATTTCGGTGGCCGGAGCTATAGTCTAAAGTACACAATTTATGCTGCTTAAAATCTATATGAACATAGAGGAGTACTAGGCTTAATAGGGTCTCAACAGTAGTATAAAAAAACCAAATGTTTTACACCAGATAGCCAAAGGCGCGGTTGTTATGGAGAAAATATCTAGTTCTGAAATTGAAGGGCTATTTATACGCAGGTAATATTTGCCGAAAGAGACAGTAGGGTTAGGGTTCTGCCTGCCATGATAGCACATGAACTGCCGAGTAAACAATCCAGACAAACTCGAGGATAAAGACTTCTATAGTAGCGGTGTCTAGCTTTCTCAAGGTGACTAATACGCTAATAAATGGGACAGATGGTAGGACCAGAGAATGTGCTCTAAACTCTGGCTTTATGTGAGGAAAGTATGATCAGATGATTTTTATCTCGTTCGGGGTCTTTGATAAACTAGCGGTAGACAAAAGTAATTATGAGAAACATGAAAACACTTGGCCCCTCCCACGGATCACCGCACATATTCCCGTTCCTCGGTGGATACCCCGACTTCTCTACATATTCCTATAACGATAAACGAAAGACATGTCTAGAGAGGTTTCCCTGTAACTCGCTGGGGGCCCGGAACAATCCACCATTCCTGCAAATAATCCATCAGACTGCAGAAACCCCCAGAATCAAAAGTAGCAATTGCCCATCCATTTCCTCTAACAAACTCAAAATCTAGTCCCCCGCAGATGTAAAACTCACGCCCGGATATTGACCTTTCGGCAACAGTAGAAGACCAAACAAGTAAGAGTCAGATGTAACGGACTCTTGTATGTGACAAGAACCAACAAAGTCGATAGGTCCGCTTTGAACGAGAAGTGAAATGCAACTACAAGTGGAGGAATATCTCAGTCCGTACAGTGAATCTAAGGAAAGGGCTTCTACTGCACAAGGTTAGATTCGGTAGAAGCGAAAGGATGTGGAATATTTCTAGGATGCGTTACAAACCGGATATCCTATGCTCCCGTATGCACGAAAGGGGCCCAGTCGAGAAAGTTTTTTGGCCTTTGGTCCCGAAATTTCTTCACAGCTTTATGAAAAGCTTCAGAGACCCATCGGTGCTCATTGCCGTTTCCTTGATATTGGAAAAGAAAGTTGTAGAAATCTCTTGCGACTTCACTGGAAGGGTGGTCACCAGTTTCCCATAGGTTTGCTAGAGTGTGGCTGAACCCTGCAAGCTGAAATGCACTGGCTAGATGTATGACTTCGTCGGCTAATTCGGTGGATTGGTTTTTGGCCGAGGAGCAGGCGGAGAGATACGCAAGCTGCGCGTTCTGTGCAACCATATTCGATATATCTCGAGCTAGCAACTTATCTGCATCATTTCCATCCGGCGTGAGCAGAACCAGGTGACTGTTTGAAGGGTTCATGTCGGACACTCCGTGGCAGGCAAAGTGGACAATGTCATGTTGCTGAGCTTGCTTGAGGACTTCGGCTGGTGTTGGGTTGCTCAATACGGTGGTCTCAATTGGAATTTTAGAGGTGGAATCAACTAAATATCGAACTTCTTTATCGACACCTGGTAAACTTGTCTTACCGGGTGTTTTCGGCATAGGAACGAGAAGTAAGCGGGGATCCCGCTTTTCGGCAATTTCGGCTTTTTTGGTGTGTTCCCCTGAAAGTAGAACCCTATGCCCGCCGAATAGTTGAAGTTGTGCTTGACGTGCATAATTGAGGGCTTTGATTGTCGGAATATATGTTGAGATGGCCCGGCTTAAAGTGTTACGGGTTGACCCTCGCGAATGGTCACCAGCTGCATGGAAAGGTGCCATGCTTAATTGTCCGGTCCCAATCCACCAAATTCGCTTCAGATTAGTGTCATGAGCACCCTTGCTGACAATCGTCCCGCTGCGTTCAAGGTCATCAAAAACAGGCCCTACGGCTGCATCCCATAACCACACGAGGAGGTCTTTCATCTGTTTATTATACTGGCCCCGCTTAATCCCCCATGATTCCCCAAAACTAGCCAATTGCTTCATCCAGTGGTCTATTTTTTCGTGATTCAGTTCCGGAAGTTCTAAGGAAGTTATAGCGGAGGTGGTGACAATTATGGCGTGGCTCCCGTAAAGAGTGCTGTTGAAGACAACGATGGGGCCATCTACTGCCATATCCTTAAGAGCCTCCTGGGAAGGTGGGAGAAGGAATCCACCATAACCAGGTAACATACGGATGCGTGCTAGGATAGCTTCCATTTCATTGACAGCCTCCCAACGTTGGGATGTAGAACGATTTTGACCTTGATCCGGTATTCCATCGCCCCCGTAGCTTGTTTCGTTCATCGCAGAGTCAATCTCAATTCGAAGACGGTGAAATTGGTCATATTCGAGCGGGTGGTCGGTTTTAAGATCCGAAACATCAGATCTTGAGTCGATTGAAAAGCCCATCATAATCCCACGACCAAGTTCCAATAACTTGAGACTATCGTACGCTTCTCTCCCGGCCCGAAGAGCCATAGAAGCAGCATCTGACGCAAGCCCTGAGAGTTCCGACAGTCTATGCTGCTGGTCATCTCGTTTTAAGGCTTGTAGATTGACACTTGGCATCAAGTTAACTGCATACTCGAGTATGGAGCTTGATTCCTGGAATTTCCCAAGTGAATTTAGTAAAAAGGCTGATTTGCGAGCCGCCAGAACCCGGGTTCTAGGTGGTGAGGTGCGGCAATAACACGCCTCGTCGAATAAGCGCAGGCTTTCAACTAAAGCTTCAATTGAACTTAAATTCAAAAAGGATCCCCTGGCTTCGATTGAGTCTCGATTCGGGGAGCTTCCCCCTAAAGGTCCAATTCGGTCTAGACTCAAGAATCTTGATTCGAAAAAACTACCCAAGGTAAAGCACATATCTGCGCGATACAAGTGATTTCCAGCGGAAGCTTCGAGTGCCATTTCCCCATGTTCGATGGCCTTTTGGAGGTCACCATGGCCTCCTAGCTGCTGAAACCTCATGTGGAACCTTCTTCCCTGAAAATGGTGCCAGATCCCTCGCTGCACATGACCTGTAGGGGTAGCAGCTAATGCCTCTTCCCCGTGGTCAATAGCTTTTTGGAGGTCCCTAAGGTCTCCCATCCGCTCAAACCTCAAGGCTAACCTGTTACCCAAGCTACTGTGTATTTCTGCCCGACCGGGCCGTTTGGGGGGGTAGAAGCTAGTGCCTCTTCGCAGTGCTTAATAGCTTTTTGAAGGTCGCCAAGGTCTCCCATCCGCTCAAACCTCGCAGAGAAGCTGTTTCCAAGGTTATTCTGCCTTCTTCCCAGATCTTGGTAATGTGCGGGGGTAGTAGCTAGTGCCACTTCGCCGTGCCTAATGGCTTTTTGGATGTCACCTAGGTCCCCTATCTGCTCAAACCTCCTATAGAACATGTTTCCCAAGCTATTATGTATGTTTGTCCGACTTGGGTGACCTTCGGGGGTAGCTGCTAGTGCCTTTTCTCCGTGCTTAATGGCTTGTTGAAGGTCGCCAAGGTCTGCTATCCGCTCAAACCTCAGAGCGAACAAGCTCCCCAGGTCACCCTGCCTGCCTGCCCTATCGGGGTCGTCATCGGGGGTAGCTGCTAGCACCTCTTCTCTGTGCTTTATGGCTTGTCGGAGGTCGCCTAGGTCTCTTATCCGCTCAAACCTCAGATAGAAGCTATTACCAAGGCTATTCTGTCTGCCTACCCGATCTGGGTGATCTTCAGGGGTACCAGCTAGTGCCTCTTCGCTGTAATTAATGGCTTTTTGGAGGTCCCCAAGGTCTCCTACCCGCTTGAACCTCCCAGCGAACAAGATTCCCAGGAAATTCTGTCTACCAGCTCGATCGGGATGATCCTGGAGGGTAGCAGCTAGTGCCTCTTCGCCGTGCTTAATGGCTTTTTGGAGGTCCCTAAGGTCTCCTACCCGCTCAAACCTCCTAGAGAGGCACATTCCCAGATCACTCTGCCTGCTTGCTCGATCGTGGTAGCTTTCGGGGGTAGCGACTAATGCCTCTTCGCAGTGCTGAATGGCTTTTTGGAT